TCAGTCACCATCCCTTACCTCCTGTTTTCAAATGAAAACCAAAAAAACCTTCCTCGCTTCCTTTTCACATGCAATCACCACTTTTCAGGCCAGCAGCGGCTGAAATTCTACAGTAAATGACACACACCCACAAGGTTATGTACTCAGTAACCTTTGTGAAGGCACCCTGGGATCCATCTCAAACACTACAGGAATCCACTGGGATTCAAAGCCCTTTCTAAATCTAAGATCCTTGTCATTCAGTCAGTGCAATGGATATTGGCAAATTTCGTTTAACTTTAAAATAACATTTGTTTAGCAATGATAGAATAAGGGTCTGCCTAAATTACAGAACTCTATTCCATAATCCATAGGTATTAAATCCTTCATTTCTCAGAACTCACGTGAAACTCTGTAAATCTTGCAGGTATTTTTCATCTGTAAGTGTATTCAGCTCTTCTCTTGGTCACTCTGCATGTAGGAGTATGATAAATTGATAGCCCCTCCAAGAATAAATGAAAAAGCATCATGGGAGCAAATGAAGTCTGAATAAAATCATGCTTTGAATTCCTTGCTCACAGAAAACAGTGCACAAACTTACTTTGACACCAAGGAGTGCCTGGATTTCACACAATATCCCTTATACAAATTTCCATGAGTTTCAGCCTTTCTCAAAAACAAGCTGTCCACATGTCAAAGCAATTTATGCAAAAAGGAATGCCTTAAAGCTATAAATGGGAACTCCTCCACTGCACAACTTGATTTCACCAGGAAACATCATATGGAATATTCAGCACAAACCACCTTTGCAGATTTACAGACCAACGAGCCTAAAAAGCCAGGTGTCAAACACTGAGCAGAAAAGCTAAAACAGTTTCACTATCTAACATTTCATTAGAGTGAGACCCCCAAATCACAAAGAGAAGGTTTAGCAACAGAGGAGCAAGCTGAAATGTAGTGTAGCAAAATTTGCTTAGAAACTATCAAAGCCAGCCACCAGAAAACAGGAGCATAGTGGATTTGAGGTAAACATTACTTATTTCCTTTCTACAGGCTTTGAAGAATGCAGCATGCACATCACAAGTCTTTTATGATGGACCTAGCTAATATGAATGTTCATTATAGCTTCTCTACTACACTATCTGGAAGGCCACAGGAACAAACCAGCTCTGCCAGGTGACCAAAAAAGAAAAGCTTTCAGGAGCAAAAACTCTCAGCTCTCAGGCACTTCCCCAAACCTCCTCTCTCAACACCATTCCTCTGTATTTAGACAGAAGTTCAAAATCCAGAGCAATGCCTGCAGTCATTTTTCATTCAATTATATTTCACGGGTAAGATGTTCAAAAGTGACCTCTAATTTCAGAAAATGAAATCCCTGAGAACACACTCAGATATCCAGGGACTAACTTCAAAACTGCCAGGCAAAACTGGCACTGACACCTCCTGCCCAGTGCTTCAAATATGCTATTTTGGCTTTGTGTTGAAATGAGGATTTAGAATTTTGATTCTAAGGGGACACAGCTTAGTAGTTAGGTTGAAGTACGTGAAATAAATATTTTTGGGAGCTTAGCTTTCAGAAAAGAATCAAGTCTGAGGGTAAGGAAGTGATGAGGAAAGCAAGGGTGCTGACTTTAAGCTGCAAGGCTCTAAAATATTGTAAAAAACACATAAACATCCACACGAAAATATCTTACATGAGTCAGTAAACACATGTACATACTCTAGGACTGCAGCCATGTTGTTAAGCTTTCTTCTCCGCTGTATTTCATCCCTAAATGAAAGCCATTCTTCCTTCTTTCATCTCACAAAATGAGAGCACCTTTTGCTCCCTCTGAAGAACTACTGTATCTCCAGAATAATGTATTTTTAGCACTTGGGTATGAGCTTTGTTTCCTTGTGACTACCAAGGAAACTGATTCAGTTCAGTGATCCAATGAAAAACAACTTTTTTTTTTAATAAATTCCATTATTAGTGGCATCATTACTATTACATTCCAAATATTCAGGATCTTGAGCTCAAGAAAATAAAATGTAGATATTTTTTTTTTATGCCAAGATATTTTCCAATTTTTTTTTTGCAAAAGCCTACATGCTGGAGCCTAGCCCAAAAATCCACCATCATTCAGGTTACATTTAGTCAGTGACCCTATGTTGAAACTGATCACAGTCCAGTAAAGCATGGTATGCAAAATCAGCTGCAGAACTGCAGCAGCTGAAGGCACAATCCTCTTTTAGGATGAGGGAGAGCAAGGCTGAGCCCTAAGCTTAAAGACCATAGAGCTCATAATGATGCAACAAGTCCACTGGAGGGTCAAGAGGCACCACTGACTGAAAGGGCATCAGGTGTTTGATAACAGGATTCCAACTCAGTGTTGACTAAAATTTCAATTTTTCAATTAGATGATGTCTGTTTAAAATGCCCAGAAGTCAAATGTAATTGTTGTCAGCCTCTAGAAACCGTGAGAAGGAAAAACAGCCAGTGAAAAACTTGAAGCCTTCAATACAGACCATAAAAAATCAAGAGAATTTTTTTTTTTTTTGAGAGGGGGGAAAACTTGCTTACTCTTCTAAGACTACTGTAAGTACAGTGGATCAGAGATACTACTGACAAAGTAAGAATACAGAAACAAACACAGTGAAGAGTAATCAGTAATTCTACCAAAGGCAAGAGAGATCCTGTGAAGGTGAAACCTGTAAGGGGACACCCTTGACATTCAAACGTAGGTGCAAGGAACCGCTGGTATCTCCTGTAACAGGAAAAGAGGAAAGGACCTGAGCTAAGTCAATCATTCTTTTCAGGGAAGTCTGAATGACAAAAAGCCTTGGAAGTGCTGACCCCACATTCAAATTATCTGGGTCTCTGATTAATAATCCTTGATCCTTCTGAATATGTATACAGTAATAGAATAAATATGCAGGAACCTGTATCTGAATTCAACCTGTAACAAGAGGGGAAAAAAAATAAACCATAATCAAGGAAAGAACAAATGTAATGCAAAGGAAGTGGCATATATTTAAAATAATTCTTGAAAATGCTTTTAAAATCTCCCTACCTTTGCCATGCAATGTATTCAGTGAAGTTATTTGCAACAACCAGGCTTTAAAATAGACAGATCATAAAAGGGTAAGAGGTTTCCTTTTCTTTTCCAAACTCATTTTCTTATATCATGGCCTATGGATATTGTGGAAAATAAAATTCACTAAGTTGGTAACTCTATTCCAAATAGTCATACATCAAATGACATTACAAACAAGCACTGTAATCAGCAACAGGTCAGTCAATTGTATCTGTTTCAGAACTTCAATTCCAAGATTAACTGCTTCATATTTTATTTGGTAAAAGCTGTTACACAAGGCACATGAAAAGATCAAAGGCTTTAAAAAACAGCTAAGAGACTGAAAATAAAGACTATTATTAATATGAAACACTATTTTATAAAGTTGCTAGGGAATGAAAACAGGGTGAAGCTAAATTCTAATGGAAGATATCATGCTTGCTGCTACTTGTTTATTTTACAAATAAAAACACAGCTTTGTTTCTGGGAAGTACACATCACCTTTAAGGAAGTACACTGACTTCAGTTTTAATAACCTCAACCAAACTTCTAACCAATAAAAATATGTCTGATTTGTTTGGGGTTTCTTCTTCCAAAATCCCCCAACTGCAGGTAACTCTCCAAAACCAAGCCAAATTCCTCACTTGTAACAGATTTTGCTCAATCCTTATTTGGATTAACTCCTAATCAGCCTGCTAGTTCTTACCTTCTCAAATCCTTTCACCTTTACTACTTCATTTCAGCAGCAGTTTGCCCAGGGCTGTTTAAAGAGGCAGCTTTGGCCATACCTGAGCAGATCCCAGGCAGCACAGACACACCTAAGAAATGCAGGTGAAGCAGTCACCTACGTGGGGCTACAGTGTACCACAGGGCTAAGTTCTCAAAGTGAAGCTTTCAAAAGCACCTAGGAAACCACCCCAATCATTTTCAGACTGAAATGCTACCAAAATACCCAGGTTTGAAGATGTGCATCCAGATAGATCAAATCAAAACCACAAAAACCTCTCTGACAACTCGCTAAGCTGCAGTATTGTCAAGTGCAACCTACTTACTCATTTGGGCAAATAAGACACCTTGGCACATTCCCCAAACTGGTATTTTGTCTCTCCCCCCCACCCCTTGTTTTTTCTGCTTAAATGAAAGATTAAGATTTTGCTTAAATGAAAGATTATCAGTCACTGGAATCCAAACACAAGACAGAGAAGAGACACCACAGTGTGTGCTATTTACAGCAGTACAGAAACAGTTAAAAACCATAAATATGTTCTGCATCCAAATTAGTGGTTTGCTGAATTCAAATTCTCGTAACCAATTTCTCAAAGAAAATCTTCAAATGCAGTGAGGAACAACTTTTATGCCTGTTAACCTTTTCTGCTTAAGCTTGAAGCACTAGACTTTCCCACTGTGTAAGAGGGTGTGAGAAGACTGAAGCAAATTTTAAATCCTTATGCAAACTTCTATGGGCAATGTCAGCAGATGTCTCCATGTTCACTCTGTCCTTATAATGATTACGTTGTGCTGCTTGCCAAGATTTCAAAGATGACCACTGACTTTTTGTGGGACGTGAATTTGTAAAGAATTTTTAAAGTTTGATAAAAGGTTTATATAGTATGCATTTGTGCATCAAATGACATTGCAAACAAGCGCTGTAATCAGCAACATGTCAGTCAATGGTACCTATTTCAGAACGTCAATTGCAAGATTAACTATTTCATATTTTATTTGGTAAAAGCTCTTGTTTTATCTTATTCACTAAAACCACATGTCAGTTCAGCAGCAGGGGTGGGGATCCTGGATCTACTGAACACCTGTGCTCAGAATGACTGAGATCAAAACTAGATCCTTACAACACACATTGCTACCAGTTCAGCCAAGATGCAGAATGCCTCTGGCACATGCAGCACTGCATTAGAACACGTTTTCCAACTCGGAACCTCCTGCACTCTACACCAAAGGAGCACTTACTGCCATTGTCGTCAGAGTCCTCGCTGCTGCTAGGAAGCCGCTGGCGTTTCATGATCTCCCCGGGAAACAGCAGGCAGCCTGGGAAGCAATGAGACAGCACTTAACCCCAGGTAATAACACACACTACTCATCAACTCCTGCTTCTGATGGCATGCGAGCATTTCCAGCGCACAAAGGAAAACAAACAACTCCACCAGCAGCTCAGAGATGAACAGTGAACCTCTCAAGGGTGCTTCATTAGGCTGCTATAGCGTGAGCAGGTGAACAAGGCTGGAGAGTGGCAATGACAATCCCACCGACGCTTTCCCCCCACCAGAACGCTGTGTTTTGTCCCGAGAGGTGTTAAAATCACTAAATATCCCCAGCCAGTGTGCTTCACTTCCCCTGCCTATTCTGACACTGGATTCGCAATACAATAACGTTTTTACTGCTTGTGTAAATATTTACTTTGGCTAATATATTTTTGGAGCAATTTTGTTCCTGTTTTAAGTGCCAGATTTACGAAATCGGAGATTAAAGTCATCCACTTACACATAAAAAGCAAAACATCAGCAGTAGCAAGCCCAGTTTTCCCAGATTAACTAAACATGCATCATCTATGCCCTGGAAAGCACCACCCTCTAAGATGAGAGAGTTACTTCCTCCTGCAGGCACATTTCTAGAGCCATGCCTAACACTAACTGTTCTTTGGGAGTAAGATTATTCAGATGATTATTCAGATGTTCCTCCAAATTGCCAGATTTCTACCAATACCGAATTCATGGGCACATGCCCATGTGATAAAAGAATCATTTTGGCCTCTGTGATAAAAAGGCAAAAAATTCCAAATCTTTTTAACTGCAGTTCTCACAGCACTGACATTTTCACGCGTACTCCCTGTGGAACAAAGCCAAATTCAGTAAAAACAAAGAAGCTGTACATAGCTAGTCAGTATTTACATGTAAAAAGCTATTAAAAAGTGCAAGTTGAAGAGCAGACAAAAACATGACAAGACAAGTCCAGAAAGGCATAGCCACCATAAGTTAAACTGACAAGGACTCTAGATGCACATCAAAACCCCTGAGTCTTCGCTTACCACATATCAGTTGTATCAACAAGGTCTGGGCACTCTGCTGGCAGCAAATCCCTCATACCTATCTCTGCACACAGATTTGGAGATTAGATACCAAAATATTCCTTTGCTTCTAGCTAAGTGCAGAAAATTTAACCTTACTTCCACGTGAGTTCAGACTTCCTCAAACCTCTCAGCAAAACTCTTACCATTGGTCCTTCGGGGTAGGAATTAACTGCTTCAGCTTTGTTCACTGAGAACACAGCTCATTTTAAGAAATTCAATAATGCTTTCAACTTTTGTAAGACTGATTCCCAAAATAAGGAAACCCAAAAAGCCTAACAAAGCCTGACACTATTTACAATAGAGCACAAAAATATCTGCTCTTCCAGAAGCAGTTCATCTAAAAAGAATTTTATTTTTGAGGGAATTCATTTTGTCACCGCTAGCAAGTAACAAGCAACTGAATCTGAGATACTATTTTATACTTGCAGAGAACTTAATACAGTCCTAAGAGCAGGAGCATTGCAGGATGGCCTCCTTTTTCATACTACACGTGCAAACAGAGCTGGGGGGAAGCCTCCCTCCCACAGAGTGACTTTTCAGAGTGGGATTTAATACACCTGTCATTGAAATGTGTAACAGTTTTGAACTGCAAGCTTTGCTCACTAAAGAGAAGCTGAATGATTCACCTCACCAAGACCTTTTGTCACCATTTCATAGAGTAAAAGTTCACATACAGTGTCTGATGCCAGAGAATAAAGAATCATCAATGGGAGCCTCTTACAGGGCTAGAAGAATTCTCTCCAGAAATTGCTTTGAAGCAGGCCAGAACTTTGTGTGTATGGGAGATGGAAATGCTGCCAGTGGATAAATACCCATACCAGCCAGAACCATCAAAACCACTGAATATACACCTGGTATAAATTTAAGAGATCCAGAGCCAAGCTCCTATATAGTCACTTAGACAGAAAGCCAATACTCAGATCCAAAACAGGCTAAGACAGAACTGAAAAATCAATTAGTTCTTACAAGGCCAAAACTAGGAGGATGAACATCTATCTGTAAAGTACTTTTTCTGTTAGTTCACATATTAATAACAGCAATGTAAAAGAAGATATTCACTTAGCAAAAATCTCCCATAAACAAAGTAAAGAAAATTTGGAAGAAAATACAGGAAAATTGTCCTGTCTCAGAAGTGTAATTTGCATGTTTCTGGTTCACTTCTTGGTTTATTTCCCATACAGTCTGAAAAGCACAATACACTGTTAAGCAAAGCAACAGAGTTTAAGTACACTAGGAAACACCTGTGAACTTGCAACAAACAAGAAAACTTGGAGTTCTCCTCCTTCACATCTTTCTGGACAAGTTCATTTTGACTTGATCTCCCCCTAACATACATTCTGCAAATTCAAAAACATAAGGAAAGAGACGAAACCTTCTTGCTTCTACCACCTGTCTTTAAAAAACAAACCGACCATCCCCTTTTTGGTTGCTTTTTGGAGGAAAGAGTAGGAATCACACCTCCCAGTTTAAGCACTCTCCAGAGTTCTTCAGGAAATAAGCCAGAGCAGAAGCCACTTTCGTGAGCACAGAGTATTAGATAAGATAGTTCATTTCCTTGTCCACTTTAGTCAGGCATCTGAAGTTGGCCACACTGAAAAGCCTGTGTTCTCAATAGTAACATTAAAAGAAATATCCCATTTGATGAAGCTCCTGGGAGATTGTTTTATAGATCCATGCGGAGGAAAAAATAATTAAAACTCAGAGATCTGATTTTCCCATTTTTTAACCTAACCTGAGTTTACAGGGAGCTAAATCAGAGATGAAAAACCAGCATTTGGCTTCTTAGAGCAAGACTCAAACCTCATAAGATTAACCCCCTGGAACTTTTGTCACTAGAAGAACTGCTTTTTTCAGCTTCTAAAATAATTTTAAACGGCTGCCACCAGATGTTCATATCCACAGACCAGAACACATGTTCTAGAGACAACACTGGAATAGCTAGTGAGACTTAGAACCATGCACATTGAAATCCTACTGGTTTCTGCCAGGTGGTGGGTGACCCAAAGTCATACAAGAAACATGTTAAAAAGTGCACATTAAAAACAAACATGGGTCAGGGATAGTGAGGGTTAGATGCAGACTGATACTGCAAATTTTTGCCCTGTTCCAGCAGGCATACACTGTGATCACTATGGCTGTAAGCAAAGAGAATTCCTATGTAAGCACAAAAACAGTAAAACATTCCAGACCAGCTTTAATACCAGGAGTAAAAGCTATGCACCCCAGCCTGCAACACTTGCAGGGCAAGAAGAGACACCCAGATGACTGAGCTCAGTTCCTAAGTACCTGCAATCACATAATTGCTGTCCAGCCCAGAAGTTCCCACAAAAATCCACTGCACCCACCCATGCCACAGAACGAGCTCCCAAACCCCTTTGCAGAACGAACAGCGCTCTGAAGCGAGGACACAGCCAGCCAAGCAGTGCTTGTGGCTGAGCCCTGGATCTCCTAACAAACATTTCTACACCTGTTTTTCCCAAATTCTTACACCAGCCCCCAAGGGGTGTTTGCCCAACACACTCTCCACCTGAAGAGAAAGCCCAGCACTTCCAAAGCTGCTGCAGAGTCTAACAACCCTAAGCTGACAAAGGCTGCATCACCAAGCCACACTCTCTATCGGTTTCCAGTGACTCCTGTAAATTCTTAGTAACTCAGCAACTTTTATATATAAACTTTCAGTTTCATTTCTTCGAAAGACAATGGTTTCTTTTTGTTAAAATCATCCTTTCAGAAATCAGTCAGACCAACACAGAGCATGCTGATCATGTTTTCTCCCAACACTCCAGTATAACCTTTAGCAAGTCATCGGGGAGGAACCAAACTGGGCTCAGGCTAATGCCAGCCTTCAGCCAAACACAGCTTCCAAGAAACAGCCACGATTCTGCTGGCAATGTTACTCCAATTCCATGGGAAGCAAAGCATCCAAGAGCACTTCATGGAACCACCATGATAAATGGCACCAATGGGACACAGACGATGCCTTTTTAGTCCTCAGTCACCCTCAGATGAGCTGGCCATACCAGGGCAGCACTGTGAGGCCAAACACAGCTTACAACACACCCTACTGTGCTTTTCCAGAGGCTGAAGGTGCTGCTCTGTTTTCCAGAAACACATCACCAGTCGCTTTTCCATCCTTTTTAATCATGCTTGCTTAAGCTCCGGGTTTTGCTCAATGATTAGATACAAACTTTAAACATAACAATGCAACTCTGGACTTCGATGGTGCATTTGCTCAAATTGTTTTTGAAGGCAAAACTACACCACCTGAAACTGACTCCTGTGTTTTGGAGAGCGTGGGAAGCCTTTTTCAAAACACTTGTAAATGCTGTGCAAATGAAATGACAAGACAATAATCCAATATAATCAATGTCAGGCCACACAACAGCATTTGAATTTATATATCCTTGTGGAGCTGAGCAACAAACATCTTAATCCACACAAACAACTAGATACAGGCAGGCATACAGACTTTGTTGTCCACTTCCAAGTATTGGATGACAGATGCAGTGCAATGGGTTAGACTCAGCAACCTGACACAGCACAGCAAATTCACTATTTTTAGCAGTGCTCATTACCATGCTACTCCATCCTTACCTCTCCAAGAGATAAATTACCAACAAAACCCAAAGACCCCACTGGACATGGATGTCAAGACCTTTCCTTTTTTCTCCCACGCTGAAGTCCCAGGAGCTGCACTGATAAGAGTGTAAAAAATACAAAGGGCAGAAATCCAGACACTACCCCAAGAAACTGGGACAACAGCGTGCACACACACACACCCCCATGTGCCACATATACAGTTAAGAACCCCACATGGTTCTTCACTAAGTTTGACCTCAACTAGAGAGGCAATCGAAGGGAAAGATGTAAAGTGTGTCAGTCCTTGTTACGCATATAGCTAAACAGAACCAGATTGTAAAAAAAAATATACATGGGAAAATCTACATCCTCAGGTCAAAGGTTTTCCACAGCACAATTCTTACTGAAGTATTTTCAAGGGCTGCATAAACCCCTGGGTAAAAGAGTGTATAATTCAAACTCTGACAGACAATTAACTGTAACCATGTTAACGGGTGTCACTGTAACAAACTGCACTGAACAGCTGCAGAGACAGAATGGGAAGAAAGCAGAGTTATGACAGATGTACACCCTGAAGACAAACTGAAAAACTGGCTTTTCCTGAAAGTAACCCACTAACTGCAATGAAACGAAGACCTAATTATCTCTAGTACACAAGAAATTGCTTCAGAACACCTACTGTACAAATGGAAGTGAAGTGTGACGCAGTATAATAAAATGGATAGAAGATGGAGACATTTGGGTTCTATTATTGGGTTATTTTTAAATAGCTTATTTATAACACCACCCCTTCTTTACTGACACCTGACATCACAAGAAGCTCTTTTGCTTCTACCCTAGACCTAAAACAAACAAACAAAAAAGGAAGCGCATCAGAAATAAGCTATTACTAAAATTTACCTAGAACTTTAAAATTCTATTACAGAGCACCATCCACAGTGCAAAGAGTCACAGACCTTAAATCTGGAGGAAAAAAAATCCCCCAAGTGTCATGAAACAAGGCCAACAGTGTTCTCCACAGGGAATATTTCTACCAAATTCAGCACACCTATCCAAAATTTATCAATATAAGAGAAAAGCACAATTTGGCCATATCAACCCAACACTTCTCAGGAATCCACGTGCTTATTTATGCACCTGTGCAAGCCAGCCCATAATATTAACTTACTACCTGAACAGTGGCAGCAAATTATTCCCAAATGTGGGAGTGAGTGAAACTGACCATCCAAAATCTCGAGCAATGCATGAACTGCGTTCCAAGAATTATTGCAACTCAACCTGCACCCACTGCAGTTCCTCTCTTCCACCTAGGAAATGGTACCAGTTTGGCCATCTCCAGTTGAAAATGGGAGCATGAAGCAGCAGTTCTAAACACATGGAGAAATCATTTGAGGAAACACTGGAAGTTTGAGGGTTTTTTTACTAGGTTCTGTGAATTGGGAATGAAACCAGAGAAGCTGGAAGGGAAATCTGCAGCTGTGAGAGGAAAGGGGAGTTTATTATTATTATTTTATTTTAAACATATGTATTAAACATAGCTCAAAAGCTGGGAGCAAGTGGTATCTGAAGCCAGAGGGAAAATCCTGCCACTAAAACATACAATTCTTGCTGTTTGAACAATATCCCACTGAGTGTGAGAAACATCTAGAAATAGAATCATAACAAGCATATTTTGGCATAACTTTAATGAAGGTTTTAGGTTTACAAGTGTGGGCAGCTTCTGACTTAGTTAAAAGACAGCACCTGCTTAAAAAGGAAATTATTCAAAATAACAGCTAAAACCTTTCTCTAAAAAATGGGGCTGGCATAAAAGTGTCTTTAGCCTTTGACATTAAAACATCAACTAAGATGTGCTGCTGAATCCTACTGGAATTTCTAATGCTTCCACGGCCTGTTTTACTGGGAAGGGGCAGGGAGGTGACAGATCTCAGGATGCCCCGACTCTCACCTGCCGGTGAACCTAATCAACTTTCTCAGAATAAGGCGAGCAGCTGAGGACCAGCCGGAGAGAGCCGGCAGGAGAAGTTGGCCGGCGGCAGGCGCTGCTCGCAGGTGCGCTGAGCCCACGGCTGCGGGATGGGGCCACTCCCCGCAGGAGGAGAGGAGCCGAGCCTTCGGGAGTCGCTTCCAACGCGGCACTCACGCCGACAGCCGGCTCCAGCCCGGCCGGGCACCGCTCAGGGCGGCTCTCCTCCTCCTCCTCCCGCAGCGATCCCATCTCGGCCCCGGCCCGGCACCGCGCCCGCCCAGGGTTCGCGGCAGCGGCGCCGACCCCGGAGCCGCCAGGGCACGGCCGGCTGCGGTCACGGAGCAGCCTCCTGGCCGGGCTACACCTCCCCCGCGGGGGTGGCACCTCCCCGGCCAGCTGCACGGCCGCCTTCCAGGAGAAGCGGCCCGGCTGGCCCCCTCCTTCTCCTCCCTCCCGGCTCCCGCTCCTCCCCGCCGCCGGTCGCACCAATCCGCTCGGCCACGGCTGCAAATCAAACTTGGTGCCCCCGGCTCCGCCGCCTCTCGCTCAAAGCGCTGTCACTGCCGAAAACGGCCACGGCACCTTCCCCGCCCGCCCCCGTGGCCACGCTGCCACCGAGGGGGTGGACGGGACGGCGGATCGAGCGGCAGCTCGGAGACGAGCTCATTTTCTCTGTCCGTCTCTCCTCCCACTCCCAGACAGTTCTGGAAACTGTGTTATCACCTCTTGTCACAGGAAACCAACCAGCAGGCGGTGCAAACAAACAAACACCCTTTGCCTCCACCCTTCCCAAATTCATCCTATCGGGAACGAACGGGCGGGCGCGAACGGGAAGGGGAAAGCAAATTAAAAAAATTTCTACAAATAAAACCAAAACAACCAAACATCCTCCAGGCTGCCCCCCCCCCAAAAAAAAAAAAAAAAAAAAAAAACAAAAAACACAAACACCACCAAAATTCTCCTGGGAGCTGGCGACTACGCGTGCCCAGGGCTGGGCAGGGTGGCTTTGTCTAAGAGGAACAAGTGGAATGATGGCTGGAGCCGCACTCACCTCCCCAGGGAGAGCGGCCCGTTACACAGCAGTGCCGCAGCCCCGCTCCGTCCCGCTCGCCAGGCACGGGGGCAAGAGCCAAATCGCGGAGCTGCCCAGACCGCCGCCCGAGCAAGTTGGGGCGTTCGCCGCCGCCCCCCGCGATGTTCCGTTCGCGCCCCAACACCGCCGGCCGCCTTTCCGCTCCCTCGCCCACAAACTCCGGCCCGAGCACACGGATTCGCCCCTCGGCCTGCGCCGGGCAGCAGCAGCGGGAGGGGGCCGGCCCCCCACGTCCTGCCCAAGTTCGCTGCGCGCCCCCCGGCCCGTTGCCGCTCCACCTCCCGCGGCCGGGGCGGGGGCCGGCGCGGCGGGGTCGCCGTGCACCTGCCGGCCGCTGCCCCGATGCCGCCCCGCGCCCCGGTGGGGCCGCACGCATTTCCCCGCCTTTTCCCACTCTCAAACACGTGCACTTCGGGGCTCGGGCAAGTTGTTCTCCAGCAGGAGACACCGCGCACCCGTCTGGGGGGACAGAGCCAGCTCTGACAGCTCGGCGCTCCGCGCCTCCAGTAGAGCGCCCACCGGCGCCCATCAAGCGGGAGGCAGACCGGCTACGGCTCTCCCGCTCCGAAAGGCAACTTCTGTTTAATTTCACCGATGAGCAGTTTTTATGCATTCCAAGCATTTACGCCCCCCCCCCCCCAAGCCAAATCGAAGTGCAAGCGGGGTGGTAAAGGGAGGGAAACAAAGCTGCTCCTGCATACCGAACACCTCCTCTCCCACGCACACCGCTCCCCGCCCGCGGCGAGAGGCGACGGGTCTCGTGGGCATCTGGGTAACACGGTGACACACAGTGGCCATGACTCTCCCCCACCCCCTTCCTACACATCAGTATCCGAGCAAGACTTGCGCTCTGCCATTGCCATCTGGCTACCAAGTTGCTCCAACGCTTCCTACTTTCCGCGGCGGGCGATACCAGGCGCTGCCCCCGCGGCGAAGCCTGCAGCGACGCCTGGGGCGCAGGGCCGGGGGCACGGCACGGCACGGCACGGCGCAGACCGGCACGGCACGGCACACCGGCGGCTCACTTGGCCGCTGCACCTGGGCAGCTGCGCGCTGCCCGCTCGCCCGCAGCGGAACAAAAAGGGAGCCGGCAGCGGCAGGTCGCGCCGGGCGGCAGCGCTGCCTCCCCTCCCGCCTCCGCCCGCCACAGCCCCGCACAAGTTGCTTGTGGGATAGCGGAGCCGCAACTCGGCCGCCTCCCCTCGCCCCGTACCGAGCGGCGCGGCTCTTGGCGCCATGTTAATGACGTACTATCTTATTTCCACTAGGCAGCGACCTTCGGCACGAAACTGCTCTCCCGCCGCCTCCGGAGCGACAAAAAAACCCCATCAAATATGGCTGTGCTGGCGGCTCCGCGGCTGGCGCTGCGGCGGGCACGGTTACCTGCTGGCGGCGGCGCGGCGGCGACGAGGGCGGGCGGCGCGGCCGGGCTCCCCCTGCGCGGAGGGCTCGGGGCCGCCGCATGAGTTCGGCGCGGCGCCGGGCAGCGGGCACGGAGCGCGGCTCGCTGCGCCACACACACACACACTCTCACACACACACACAGATTCCCTCTGACTGACGTTTGTACTTGTTATGGAGGAAGGACTCCGTGAATCAAACTCGTTTCTGGGTCACTGCTGCCACAGGGGGGAGCTGCTTTAATCCCCTGCCAAAACTGGAAGGCGAGGGAAGGGGGGAGAAATAATAATAATAATGCAGCGCCGGGGTGGGGAGGCGGCGGCGCGGCCCCGGGGGAGCCGCCGTTAACTCTTGGCGGGCCCGGCCGCACCGCGCGGGGCTCCCGCCGCCCCTCGCCGCCGGAGCCCCGGGGGAGCGCGGCCGCCCGGCTCCCGCCGCCTCCCGCTCGTGTTCCAGCGGGCTGGGAAACGCAGATGGGAGGCAACGCCGGGCGGCTGGGCAGCTGGGAAATGATACGTGTCTGCACCCGCATCCCGCCCGCGGCACTGCTGGCCTTACCCTGCAACCATTAACGCTTCTCTCCAAAAGATTTAAACCGATTTCGCAAGCAGGAATTCTAGCGATGCACTGGCTCCCCGTGCAGAACGCGTGAGTCACTATTTGTCAAGCAGAGAAACTGAGGGTACCAAGAGTTAAACGCTGTGGCCACATGCGTAGCGCATAATTGCCGGGGCAAGAATAAAACTGCACGCTCCCTTATTCTCAGCCCCCAGCGTTATCCCTATGGCTCGTTAACTTTGATACTTCTCAAAGACTAGAAAGAGCCAACACAATCTGCGGTTCAGTTCACATCTCTCTAGCAGGAGAGGAAATTATCTCAAATTGGCACCAAATGACATACTAAACTTCCCATTACCTAAAAAGCGTGTTTGAATGCAGATTTCCTTATTTTTCCACATAAATCGCTTTACCTCACGCCATACACCTGTGCTCCCTGAGTGAAGAACTCCCCCTTTTGAGCAGAATTCCTGAGCAGATATATTCTGAGGTAATAAACACCACAGAGAAGATTCAGCATAAGCTCAGACACAGAATTAAGGCGATCTGTGTAAAGTAATCCCCATAGTATGCAAATACAAATTAATGCAGCCTCCACAGAAACATCAGTCTGCCAAAGAATCACACCTTAGTTCAGCAGAGGAATTGGGTCGTTATTCATCCGTGCAAACCGAGTCATTTCTTCTGCCGTCTCACCCACCCACCCAATAATGAAACAGTACTTACATTGAATCTGCACATCCTAAAAAGTTGTGCTTTACTACAAAAACATCCTCCCCCCTGGAGATATTCTTTCACTGTGAAAATCAGACAGTTGTGATTTTATTCACAGAACACCCTGAAGCACCTTCAGATTTTTGAATCTAAGACTTTGATTCCCTTGTTTTCTACTACATGAAAATACAGAAAGGCATGCATTCCCTACTTTCTTCCTACACTTGCCTTGGCATCCAGATCTGTAAAGATACCTGTTGGCATAGCTTTCTGTACATCAGCAGCTTAATTAGGAACATCCATGACGATCCATGCAACACACCCCGTCACGGTAACTGATAATTATAATAAACTTACTGACACACCCCTGTCACCTTACCCCTGAACTTCCAGGGCTGTTAATTTTCAATACTGACTGGAGACTTAGTTGTTCTGTATTTCCTAAACCTGTTGCTGTGCCATGGTATAAACCCCAGAACAGAACAGGGCAGTTTATTCCCTCAGTGGTCTGCAGGCCCCTCAGGGGTTCAAGGACTGCTTCTCATAAATCCGTAAAAAGCAATCAAGGTTAGCAAAGCTACTGTCAATTGGCAATTACTGTACACAGGCATGCACTTCTACTGGGTTAATATGATGATGTTTCTTCTAAATAATTTTAAATAATATTGTCCATTGTAAAAGACTGAAGAATCACAATAAATGCTATTTGTTCCACTTTCCTGAATTCTTTCCAAGAAGTTCAGAACAAGCTTCTGAGAAGAGCTTAAATGTGAATGGGCTCTAATTTCTCAAGAGGAATGACAGAAACTTTCCTGTCTCAAGCTCCTTGGATTTGAGGCAATATTTTTGTTTCCCTGTAATTAGTTTTCCTTTGCATATGTAGCCAAGTTTATATTACACATTGTATTTTAGGAAACATTTCTCTTGGAAGCCATGTGAGGCCATACATTTAAGATAACATGATTGTTTTCACATTTAAGATAACATTAATGTTTTCATGGTACCATGAATTATGGGCTGTGTTTTTAAAAAGTACCAACTATCTCCATTACCATAGAAAAACTCCCCAAATGTGAGTCCTCTGTGCTCCACAAGCAGCTAGCCCAGTCTTTACAAGAAGGTAACACAACTGGAACAAAGATGCTATTTTGTCTCTGAGTACAGTGCATCCACAGAGATTCCTCTGGAATAATACACTTCTATGTTTTAAAAGGAAATATTTAAAAAATCAAAGGGCTAGGAGCTGGAAGAATAATTTTGGAAGTGTCTGGAAAACAAAAAGGGAATGTTACTGCTTCAGCATTACAGGTATGAAGTTGGATACGAGCATAGCTATGGTCAAACAAGAGAGAGTAGTCTTCTGCTACCTGCACTGACTAAACATCAAGGTGATGAGGAAAATTCTGCTTTAAGTAGAGTCAGTAGGAGTTCTAAGATCACCCCTCGTCTCTAATAGGTATTTACCCTCTCAGCAAAACAGGCACTTTCTTATAATAAATAATGTCATAAGGTTCTGTGCCTCTCTCACTTATCTTTCTACCAGCATTATCATTTATTCCAGGAACACTCAGAGAACATGTATCCAGCTTAGAGTTAGGCTTTGTGCTAGCACACAGAACTTCTGATCCCTTCTGTAAGTTGTTTCATCAGATACACTCACTCATATATTAAACTTTATTTTAATTCTTTATTGTTTTATTAGTTTCTTAACATTTCCTTCTTGGATTGTTAATATTTTAGCTGATACACAAATCCAAGGAAAGACTATGTAGCTTTTCAGCACCCTTCTGTGGAAATTTGTTGCTGTAGCAGTGGCTAGTAAAATTAATTTCCTTCCTTCTTCCTTTTTTTATTTTGATAATACTTTAACAATTGAAATATTTTCTGCTAATTGATACAGTCCTCATACATGAAGGTGTAGCTAACAAAGCTGAGTTTCTCCTCACTGTTAAATTTAGTCCAAGAGTATCACTTAAAATTCAAAACTGTTCTTTTGCTCTTTTGGCTCGAGCTTTCAGGAACTTCTATTTTCTATTTTTTATTTTGAAAATTAGAAACTTGAGGAGAAGAACAGTACAGATCCAAATCAGCACTGTCAACACTAGATTGTACTTAAAGAGTGGGATTTTCCAGAGAGTTTTCATATCTCCTGTGACAGGTATTTTATAGAGCAGAGCCGTAAGATGGATGCATAGTTGGGCCAATTCATTTCAAGGTCCATTTTGTCTCTAGCTGGTCTAATCACACAAGCAAGGGGAAAAAAAGATTTTGACTCATGCATATGTAAATCTATACCACTTACAAGTTGCATAAATGCAATATTTTTAAATCCTGCAGAA